TACTTTAAAATAGTACTGACAGCTTCCTCGCTAGGCGCTCAGCATTAAGAGGTGACTAGATAATGTTACTGGGTGGGACATCATGCGACATGTCTGCGGCATGAAGACCCAGTGCTAAACATCACTATAAATTGTCACACTGCAGAAATCGTAGCGATATGACTGAAAAATTGTCAAAGCTATGTAAAAAATATAAATCACACTAAATCACACACTGCACCTTCTAAACTTTCGTCTTTTTCATTATTTACACTCTGTAGACCAGACTCTTTTTCTGGATAATGATGATAGATATACTACCTACTGCCTATTACCTAGTTACATTATCCAACACCCCACACCTTCAATCCAACACCTTGTTCTGAGTGACCAACACCAAGTGATAGGCTATTCAACACTCACAATACAGAATCAGTATGTCCTTTGAGCGATGAACATCGAGTTAATTATACCATCAGTACACCGTTGGAGTGACCCATATCCATGGATCTAAAATCCAATATTTACAAAATGCCCTCAAGAATCTCTATAGGTGACCTATACCAAGTGATATAATCTCCAACATACACACACACACACACACACACACCATCAACACTATACTATCAGCACACCTTAGGAGTGGTCAACACCCAATTATTTACTCTCCATTACCCACATTATACCATCAACACGCCTTTGGAGTGACCGACACTGAGTGATCTTCTATCAACCACCAAATAACAAGTATTCAACATGACGTTTTAAATGATTAATTTAAAAAATATAAAATACAACTGAAATTCATCAAGCGTTGGTTACTGAATAATATAACACAGAGAAAAGAGGTTATATTTTCTTTCATTAAGTATAAACATTTACGATTAGCAATTATGCAACTTCAGTTTAAACTTCTAATATACAGCCTACACATCACGTGGTAAAAAAGTATGCGTACTCTAAGGATGTGGCAAAAGGTTACATTTTTAAATCATACAACTACATTTTGCAGTAATTTGTCATTATTTTTTCCAAAATAGCTTGATCTTTTCACAAATATAACAGTGTTTTAAATAAGACTCCTATCAGTGGATAAGTAGATAACTCGCATGCATTTCATCGATGACTTATGGTCTTAAAATTAACTAAATTCTTGTTTAGGTCGGTTTAAATTTCAGTAAACCTACATTGACATCCTGATGAGCAAAGAAATATATTTGTCGGTTTTGAGGTACATAGTTGTTTTAAAACGAGTATTATTTTACTATTACGAGTGTCTACATTTATTAATTGTCTTTTGCAGACATTTATTTTATATCTTGCGGTAGGAAAGAAAAACTCTTCGCACATTTCAAACTTCTCATTGTGTTCGTCCTTAAGTGTAAAAAAAGACAAAATTTTGTTAGTTTCCATATTTTATTTCGCTGTCAAATCACAATATAGTAACCGTCTTTGTTTCAGGACTGTCTTGTCATATTTGTTTTTATAGACAATTTAAGTTGTGTTTGGGAAATGACACTAAAACAATCGATGACTGATTTACATATATATTATTTCTTCATTTTAAATTGACGAACATGAACAAAATATCTCTTTTGATATTTATCGCCATTTTGGAATCTGCATCATACCCCTGTATTATCATATATATATATATATATATATATATATATATATATATATATATATATATATATATATATATATATATATATATATATATCTTAATATAATACAAACACTCTTTGAGTTACCGGTCTACGGCATTTGATGTACATAAATAAAATTTGCTTCCAATATTTTCAAAAATGAAATACTGATTTAATCAGAATAACAAAGAATCATCAAACCAGTGGAGAGAAAAAAAACCCAAAACAAAGCAACATTAACAAAAAAACAAAAAAATAAAAACAAATCAAAACAAAATACATTTGACCCATTTAATGAGAAAGAAGATACAGCACTAAGTACTCTTGAACTGCCGAAACTAATTTATCTCTATAACATTATAACAGGGCAATATGTATTGTTACTGTTAGATATATGCCCCCTCCTTTGAATTGTAACTTTATGTATAAAATACATCCCATTCAAAGAGTGGGGGGTTGGGGAGGAAGAAAATATGGGACTCAGTCAATTAGGACAATAATAAAATCACACACAAATTGCTTATAGTGCACGCCTAATGAATCTTTAGTGACTATTCCGTCAAGTCGCTATAGGCAACCACTTTCCCCTGTCGATTTTCCGGCATTTGCTAGAAAAGGAAAAGGAACGTTACTCGTAATGGGTAGAAATCAGGCGAAAACTCACAAAACAACAAAACTGAGTTAGCTAAGGAATCAAAATTTATGTTTGAAGCTGGATTTTATTTTGCTAGAAGTTATAACTCGTATGGGTGCTTTATTATTCACATGCCATATGAAATCAAAGAATTAATCCAGTGGAGCCTAATAGTTCTGCTCTTTTAATTCATGGCGACTGGTTGACCTTTTGCATTGATAGGTTTATGATTTGTTTGTTCTCTCTACTACATCGAAGCAACTAGCAATACAGTGTAAGAAACTTTAAATGAAATTTTTTTAATGAGTCCGTGGTCCTCTCTAACGAAGGACCAAACAGTATTTACCGTCTAATGTATCATTAACGCATATAATGTGTCATGCTGACTTTCTCATCTTGCTACAAGGTCAAGGATACATCCCGTCAAAAAAACATTTTCGGGTCATTTATTAAATACAACGCAGTCATGTCGGATAATGGCATAACAAACTGGTTATGGAGCTCAGTGGTCAAGATAATACGCAAGAGTTATTATTCTGTGTATATTATGACATTTTACTACAAAATAGATAAATAAGGCAATATTTTGGTATCGAATGAAACTAAAAAAAATGTATTGTAGTAATAAACCAAATGTCTGCAGTGGCGGACGTTTCCACAGGGATTCATTTCTAAGATGTGTTCATGATGTGATAACCATTTCTCGATTTTATGTTCGGTCGAGACAGTAACAGAAAAATCAAGAATGTGAGTTGTTTTCCATTTGACCGACAACAGTACAGGCAATGCTGCTTTGGACCGACTTTTTGCCCAAGGATCGGTCAAATGCACTATAGGGCGTACTATTATCGGTCGAATGTTTAACAGTGTGGGACATTCTTAGTGTTTTAATATTTTTATACTGCCATTTTGGTCGAATGACATAATTCTCTAACAAATCCTTTACACTTCCGGAGCTCGTGAGACCGTTCGTTGACAGTTCCGTCTCACTTTCGGCACTCGTGAGACTACAGAGAACAAGCATCCTCCATCTTATTGAAAGCACGGAACCTCTGTAATGTTTTCCCGGATGCACTTCACCCATTATTCTTGATTCCTAGCACGTTTCCTGACGGCCACGTTCTCCGATATTGATTTGTGAATTTAGTCTGTGTACCTGAGAAGTGAGACTGCAGTTAACCATCCTCATCCATCTTAGTGAATCTTCGTACTTTTTTTTTCCAAAGATGCAAGGCACCAATGTGAAGCTACCAAACAATATCTGCAGTTAAGGATGAATTTGAACAGAGTGGCTACTTCTCCGAGACACTACAGTATACGCATAAGATATATGACGGCGAAGTTTTTTCAAAAACGTCAGAGATTTTTCGCCAGAAATTTCTACGCAAACAATGAAGCCTTGGTCTATTAATATCTCCTCTGTTTCTGTACTCTTGGACTGACTCAATTATAGATCTGGAAGTTGCGAATGAAATATAACATAGATCAGAGCATTTGGAACTTCTATGGCATTGTATTCTATGCTTTGTATTCTCTTCTATGGCACTGATTTGTAAATAACCGAGTTGGTCCAAATGGCATCTATCTTTAATCAAGGATTACATCTTTGATTATAAAATCAGTGTTCAATATGTGTGCCATCGCCTAAAAACTTTGCATAATATTGGAGTGCTGAAGTCATATGGAATAAACAAACTTAAAGAAATATTGCTATTCGATGTCACTTTTACTGTCGTATACATGCTACTGTAAATAATCTGTATTATACTTTTTAAGTTTGATTTTGTTATTTGTCACTTCAGAATTTATATTAAGATTTTGAAACATCAGTTGAGAAATCGGCCATCTCCGTATGAAGGTACTTTCAACTATTGTTTCAGTTTACCCTAAGTGCAACAATATCTAGGGGAGATAACTCCCAATCCTAATACTTTGCCTCTCTTTACAAATACATTTGGCATGAAAGGCCTGTGGAATATATACTTTGGTATCAATTCTAGTAAGATCTAAAGTTTCTTAAAACGTTTTGAAATGGAAATTTTATTTGGTTGCACAGAATGGACACTGCCCCGTACACATGAAGCCATGAAGGTAGAGGATTGCTAAGATGTATCCCTAAAAGTTATTTTAAATGCAGACACAAATCATTGATTCACGCTTTAAATAAAAACCTTATCTCTTTGATTACATAATCAGCTTCAGTTTTAAATGTCCATTATTAGAGTTTTGACACTTAACTGTTGCTTATTAGTTTTGTATTATGATATTTAATTGTTCTTGGACGTATATTTATTATGATATTTAATTGTTGTTGGACAGATATGTATTATGTTAGATTCATGAGTCTTATTTGATTGCTGTTACATAGATAGGTCCTATGTATTATGATAGAATAATGACACTTAATTGTTGTTAGACAAATAATATTATAACAAAATCATGACATGTAATTGTTGTTTGAGATATAAGTCTTTTGATATAGTTATGTCACAATTACAGTTGTATAAGTTTTTTTTTTAAATGCCATATTTACCGGTGTGTAGCATGCACAGTGGTGAATATTTACCGGTGTGTAGCATGCACAGTGGTGAATATTTACCGGTGTGTAGCATGCACAGTGGTGAATATTTGCCGGAGTGTAGCATGCACAGTGGTAAATATTTACCGGTGTGTGGCATGCACAGTGGTGAATATTTACCGGAGTGTAGCATGGACAGTGGTGAATATTTTCACTAAAT